AGTTCGGACACTTTTTAGCGCGGATCCGACGTCCATATAATTGTAAGTCAATGTCTATAAACATTGATTAGTAGTAAATGATTAATTTGTTGTTTATATAGCTGTCAACCTAAACACCCTAGGTACCTTGTTTAACTCGCTATCAAGATGGCTGACATTGATCAGCTATTAGCAGGTTAAAAAACGTCAATGAGTTAAGCAGATTGGTCTTGATTTTTATTGTGAGAAATTTTTCACTTGAATTGTGAAAAAATGGAAAACTTTCGGCGTAATATAGCAGATTTGCGGTACTTTAGACGGAGGCGCGCAAAGAACAAGAAACGATACGATCCACTGCTGCAGTAAGATAAACATGAATTTAGGAAACGATATCGTTTTTCCAAATAAAATATGTTAAGAGATAGCAGAGGAAAAATTCCTAATCTTCGATTTGATTATAGGGTATATCCACTTTAAAGTTAAAAATAAAATATTGTATAAGTAACTACACGACATATTCAAGCATAGACATTAATTCGAAACATAAAACAATAAAGTTTCCTCGATAGATAAAAATCACGAAATGACCTCTAATTTTCACATTTCTTCGATTTATCCTCGAAATGCAACAGGTTATTAGGACAAAAATTAGGTAATTAATTATATTTATGCATGATCGAGAACTCTCACTACGGATTTTTTTTATCCCTTTAGTTTTAGAGTTATTCCGCTAAAACGAATTTGGTACTTTTAATGCGCAAAATTCAACATCTCCTGTCGCATGTCACGCGAACTTCAGGCATATATTTGTTTCACAAATTTGGGCGGAGCCAACGTCAAAACTTTTTTGGCATGAGAGCTCTTAAAGATAGACAATGAGTTTGTTAGTATTTGTCTTTGATTCAATTTTTAGATTTTCGCTCCAAATGTCCAATGACAGCCATCTGACAGCAATTTTTTTTCTGTTTTTTGGCTTTCTACTATTAATGGTTTAATCTATTGCTAAGGTATTAAATAATGTGATTTATAGTCTAGTGTCAACTGTTAGCGTCGCCAAGGAGCGTAAATGTCGCTGTTATAATTTTATGAAATAGACGTCGCGTATTTTCATTTAACGAGATATGATTTCCTCTATACTGTTAAATAAAAGAAATAAACAAAATATTGAAGAGTTTTATGTAAATAAATAAGTTCAACATAACTTTTAATCAATATTTAGACAATAAATTCGAAAATAATATTGTTCGTCCGTGTAACTATTTTAAGATTGCTAAATTTGACATAAGAGCAATATTACTTTAATGTTATAGTCGCGTCATAGTACGAACTGAGAGAATGAAGAAGCTGCCAATAAAACATCATACTTTTATCATTATAATAAGCTTACTGTAAGCACGTCATGGTACGAATAGTCAATGTAAGGTTAAAGTAGTATTGTTTTAAGAAGTTGTGGCAGGGCCCCACGCAATGCCTCATAAATACTTCATTACGGTTTATTTACAATTAGTTAAGTACCTAAAGCTTAGTAGTATATGTAATTATACTTCGATTCAATCCTTTTTAAACAAATAATAAACAAACAAGTCAATGACCTGACCATAGACGGTTTAGTGATGGCCAATTGTAATGCCAAATACAAATCGATTAATTAATTGAATGAATAGATTTGTTTAATTGAGCCATTCTAGCGGTTTCCTTACATAACCTATAAAAGCATATTTCAAATTTCCAATTCTTTATTTTAAATCCTCCTTCTAATCTTTAATATGTACACTATATTATCGTTCAATTGCGATTGACATTTTCGATTTACTAATGGATTACAAAAACTTTAATTGAATGAACCGCATGTTTTTTTTGTACAGGGTCACGTCAAGTGTGAAATTTAATAATTAAATCCAACTTACGAACTTAAGAACGGTTCAAAGTACAAAGTGTCAAGCTTGACGTGTTCTTGACTGTACATCACTATGCAACCATAGACAAGTCATAGTTGTATAGTTGAAAAACAACCTCACTTTTGGACTATCATTTTTCAAATACGATTTCACGATGCTATTCAAATGAATATTGTTGAAAAAATTGATGAGATATCAAGTCCAATTCTTCGAAATATACGTAAAAGTGTTACTTATGCGATTTATTGATTGCTTTATAATTTTAACCAAACAGTTTTGTTTACTTTTTGTTTAAAATGGCTTGGACCAGAATATACGTACCGTGTCTTATACCCAAATAACTTCATAAAATACCAAATAGAATAAAGCGGTATAGTCTGCAGTAGAACTTCCTGAATGTTATACAGGAATGCATTGTGCACATCTCGGAGTGCTGGCACCCAAAATGCATTTTCCAAAGGATATTCCCGTAAATATTTGTTTAGGTAATTTTTAAATTCTCCCCAGGTCATTGGATTCTCAGTGGAAGTACAATTGTATACACGTACTGATGAGCTCCTGGAAATTTGGCATATTGATTAGTGAGATCATAAAAAGAACCCGCCACATGGTTTACCCTACTGCGAAATTTACCATGGGGCACATAAAACGGTTGATGATAGAGATGATTATTAAGATCACTGGAACCCTGGAAGAAATCAACTTAAAAAATTTAAAAAATTTTGCCTTTTTACATTTTACAAGAAATCTACTTCTATTTTCGTTGAAATTTAATAGAAAGCGTTAAAGAAAGTCTATTTAATTACAATTCAATAGTAATAATAATAATAATAATAATAATAACGCTCACACTCAACATAGCCCCGCACTAGGGAAACCCTGTGTCGCGGGTGCCATGGACACACACATAGACAACCACAAATTACACCCAAACTCACGAGAGAAATAAATGTAGGCCATACAAATATTTCTCCCGGCCCGGGAATCGAACCTGGGACCTCTGCGTGGCAGTCCGGCATGGTAACCGTTCGGTCACGGAGGCAGTTTAATAGAAATCTGGCATATGCGCTTTGCAAAAATAAAACAATACAAAATAAAGTTTTTATACCGCACCATAAACGCACAAAGTTTTAGCACAGATTCAAACAACTCGTGCTGTTTTTTTTTAGGAAACGAGCGCTTTTTGTTGTTGTTATGAATAAAATATTTATTAAAAATTGTTCAAACAAACGTGGAATCTATCGTTATGAAAATCCAGTTTAAAATCGTCTGGACGAGCCGAGCCGTCGGTGGTTCGTCGCCAGTAAAGAATTTTTCGGTCAAAATGGCACCGAACCGCCGGTGGCTCGGCACAGTTCTAGAGTTTAACAGTAGGTACTTTGTAAAATGCCGACTGCCGACTGTTTTCTTGCGAATTCAACAATTTTTTTTTATTGTTTGCACTATACAGATGGCACGTGCATCACCGACGAAGATATACAAACCATATTTGTGTTGCAAAAACGTGCGATTCGTTCTGTGTATCGTTTAGGTTCTCGGATATCTCTTAGAGAAAAGTTTAAGGAGACTGGTATCATGACTGTGGCAACACAGTATATTTACTCAAATATTATGTATGCCCGTAAAAATATATATACAATTTCGTTAGGAAAGAAGATATCCATAGTATTAACCTTAGAACTAAGTCCAAACTCATGGTACCACGTTCTCGTTTAACTCTAAGGTAAACGATTCTTTTATGGGGAACTGTATACGTTTTTACAATAAGATTCCGGAACATAATATATTAAGTTTACCATTTCCTAAGTTTGAAACTGAAAGTTGTGATGAGTGAAAACAATTTTTTCAGCATTGGTTGGTAACAAACTATTATGCTTTTCCTCATCAACAATATCTGTTTCTGAAAATAGCCTCTCACTATAAACACTTCTGCCAGAAGATGTTAGATAAATCTTAGCATATTTTGACGGGCTAGGATACAGCTTTGCATTTGCTGACCACCACTAGTAAGGATCTGCCGTCAGATCTAGGCGAACAGTTATCAAATACAAATCAATTTCATGTGCAATAGAACTTTTCTCCAGGCCCTCATCATTTTGCATATTATCTGTAGCGACTTAAAGAGGTGTAGAAGCTGTCATGTATTGATTCTATCGTTTTATCTTTTTTCAACAAAAGCACCCGATCCCCGTTGCCTCCGCACGCTGCGCAATGACACAGGTCGTAACAGGTGGCTCGTGAAATGCACAGGTCTTACGCCGAACATTCGGCGCTTCAGCCGAGAGCTTGGTCGAATATTCGGTATTCGGCCAAACCAGTATTCGTGGCATCTCTAATAATTATGTATGTATATAATTATATAATATTATGGTCATTTATTATTTCATAATATGATAATATAAGTTTTTAACAATGCATTTAAATTTTTACCACTCGCACACTACGTCTCCGTCTCTGTTCAGTTCTCCTCTGCCTCAAAGGTTGTCTGGAAGAGAGTCGCTTTCAGCGTTAAGGCCGCCTTTGCCCACATGAATTCTACGTCGTGTACGTGTTTTTTTTTTGTGTGTGAATAATAAAGTGTATTCTATCTATCTATCTATCTATTTAATTTTATTTTAAACTTACTGCTGTAATGCAGTCTCCCAAGCCACACCGATCATGGTGTCGACAGCTATGTCCACTGGTATCATGTCACCCACCATGGAGCTATTGCTTCTCATCACTCGAAGGAATCCCTTGCCCGTGAAAACTATTACTCCACTCGGACCGTTCAGATTCTCTATCCAACCAGGTGTTGGATGATGGAGGGATGATACCACTGGGGATAGATATTTTTTTGTATTGTAGAATAGGCGAATTCTTGGTCACAAAGTCAACTGATCTAAGCGAAAATATGTGGTTGAAATTATGACATTCCGCATTTGTCTAGGTTAATTATAATTGTAAGTCAATGAGGTTAATATAATAATAATCTTTTCACTTCACTAGCACGGAAAGGTTTCTTGCTCATTAGAAAACTGCACGCTTTTGCGTGCGTTTTTACGTTTCTTCCACGCTAGCGTGGAAAAGTTTTTGTAATTCGAACTTGACGATGGACTGTGGTGCACCAATTTTTTCTTTCGATAAAAAAAACATAATAATACGTTTAACTAGGCAATTTGTCGTACATTATTTATGTCGTATAAATCCGATGTTATATTTTAGTCTTATTATACTTGACATTAAATTGACAACGATAACCAATTTTGTTTATTACAATTGATTAGTTACCTATAGTTCAACTGTTTTTCTTTCGTCTACCATTTTCCTCGCTATAGTGAGGTGAAAAGTTGTGTGTTTCGTTCGGCAGCAAAGTTGTTTTGCGTCTCGTGTTTTGAAACCCTCGCTACGCTTAGGAGTCTATTTTTGAACCACGAGCGAAGCGAGTTTGAGAAACTTAGTTACTTTCACTTGCTCACAATGCAAGGACTCGCGTCAAAAAACAACTTTGCAGCCTTATAAATAAAGTATTACAAAATCGTGATGCTCTGACTTCCTAACTAGTATGATATTGTACGAGTTGTACAACTAAAAACAAAATAATTGAAAAGACACAGTATAAAAATAAGCAAATTAACAACGATTGGTTTGTATGCGTGGAGTGAAGTGATTTACGTATGTGTGAATGTTTGTCTTAGTGCAGATTGTGAGGATACGTAACTAATATATTTTGGTGAGAGTGGTAGAACGCATTTACTGAATGACTCGCAGAATAAACTCAATAACTTTGTGACTATAGCTTTTTGAAAGAGAATCTTTAACTGCCAGTTTACAAGACACAATTGAGTAGGTAGTCCACTTGCAAACAGCGCTATGTGACATTTTTAATGATTTTTAGTTAATGGCGTGAAATGGATCAGTATTATAAATAATTTCAAATACTTCAACAATAAAGTGCCAAAACTTGATACCTATATTCTGTACAAAGTCGCCATCTTTCTCAGTTTTACACTTTCAAAGGTTGCCATTTTGTCGTCAACCTGCAAACGCCGCTCTATTGAGTATAAACTCGTGCAAAATCCGTTATTTTGTTTGGTATTTATTATTATGTCATCCGAAAGGTCCCTCCTACATTTTTTTCCATCCTCTAAGGATCCCTCGTGTTCATTTATTAGTTCTATTTTTATTTTATTTATTAGGCACACCAACAGTTGCAACAGTTACTACAACATTTCATGTAGGTATTAGTGCATTTCAAAAACTTAGTCTAATTGCGTAACTAATTATAGGTGAGCACCTCATGCATAAGCAAATGTTTAAACAGAGTTGGAAAAGTAAAAAATCATTTTAAAACTAATAAAAAAGAAATAATTTAAGAAGACTTTTTTATAAGTAAAATATACAACACAATTCAAATACTAAATAATAGAGAATGCTATGTGCCCGAACCAAAAAAATTAAGAATTTTGTTTCTGAAACCTAGCAGTGAGAAATATCCGCATGTTTGGAGCAATCATTATATAAATTATATAAATTAAAAATAAATTACATCACAATATACAGGGTCCAAAGGTCAATTAGCCGTCCGTTTAACAACAAATACGTTACATTCATGAAATTTAAATTTGAACAACACTTCCTATTAGACACTAGCAAAAGTTTATACTATTTTGCTTACAAATAACTTTGTGTTTATGATATATAACTTATGATGGTTTTTTACGTGAAACGTTTAAAAACAAAGACAAGACATCACTGTAGGTAAAAGTAGTTGTTAACAAATTATTATCCAGCAAAACTTTCCACAAACACTTCCACAGTTTATTTGAGTCACTATGATCTCATCTATAATGTTTAAAACACTTAATTTAAACTTTTTATATTTTGTAAAGTAAATAAAATGCAGACACTGTGTTCGTACTAACTGCGCCCTCTAGCGGCAGGAATCATAAAAATAAAAATGCCATAAAAAGTGTTTTTGGACACGCTCCAAATGAGTGAACAGCATAGTGGGGTCGCCACACCACGCTTTCATATTATCCAAGTACAGTCCTAACTAAGCTGTTGTAATTAAATATTTTCACCCGAACGCTACGAAAAATTTTTCCATGATTAATAGTTTATTAACAGTATTAAAAACTTTTTCGGAGAAGATTGGTTTACATACGAAATTCTAGAATTGTATACTCATGATATTATCGTGCAAGTACAATTAAATGTGACCGAAGAAGATGACATGACAGATAATGAAGATACATTGATGGTTGACGAGGTGGATATAAGAGTCTAAGGAAAAACGAATATTAGACTCAAGTTGTATTTTTTACTATTATTATAATATGTACCTCCATAATTATACTACTATATGTGCTCCTGATTTAGTGTTGGCATTATTTGTGAGTAGTGACACTGGTAAATTAGCGCAGTTGTAGTTACTAAAATCGGAAAACTGTTTAAGTCTCTAAAATCTATGGTTAACGGTGTTGGTTACACATTAAGTCACTATTTGTTAGTTATAGCTACGGACGATTTGTAATGTGTAACTGTTTGTTAACCCCAATAAAGTAAAAAATAATAATAAGAACAAAACTAACCACGTTATCATTGTGTGTGCGCGTTGTTGCAAAACCAGTTATGAAAAAAACCATGTTTAATTTTAAAATGGAAATAAAGTAAAAAGTTTAATACTGTGATTTCGTTTCTTCACATTGTTTATCTCTTTTTAACCGACTTCAAAAAAAGGAGGAGGTTCTAAATTCGCGATAACTCAGTTGTGAACCGATTTAAAAGATTTTTTTGTTGGAAAGAAGGTACCTCAGATGTGGTCCCATTTAAATTTGAAGAAAACATTTCAACTCTAAGGGTGGAAAACTAGGGGATGAAGGACTATTGAATTCGGTTTTTTTAGTACTCTGTACTGTTTTTGTGAAATTACTCCACTAGTTTGTTATAATTTTTATCACAATTTTCAGATAATTAAAAAGTACCATTTAAAAGTCCGTTTTCGGAACAATAATTTTTTTTTTTCAGTTTATAACTTTTGTTATCTACGCACATAACGCAGTTTGCTAGTGGACTCCTCAATTGTAATGTGTTCGTTCAGGCGATTGCACATGTAGGCGAAAACTTAAATGACGTGAAGCAAACCTCGTCCTAATTTTTATACATTTAAAAACTAAACCGTGACGACATTCTTTGAATATGGAATGAAAATTTTTTTGTACGACTTGCGCCTGGCAGTAAGCGACACGCCTGACCATGACAGTTCCAGCGCCACTCAGAGGCTTAAATCACAAATATCTGAAGAGCATTGCCACTGCACCCGTCACTCTGAGACGTAAGTTGACATGTCAGGAGCTCTATTGCTACTAAGTGTAACCACCACGCGATGAAGTTTCTTCCAAATACCACACATATGTACGCACTTACCGATAGAAGGTCTGAAAATAGCAGAACTGTACCCTTTATTCTTATGTTGTGCAATCACATGCTCCGCCATTGCCTTCGAGAATATATAGGTGTTTAGTTTTGGAAATATGAATCTGAAAAAAAAAAAAACAATTTTAAAACATCCCTTGGAGTATGGGTCGGGCACTGGTGTGAGACGCCACATGTGCCGGCACACTTGCCCCATCCCATCTCCAGTACACCAGGAAGAGGGCTGGCTCGACAGCTGAGCTGGCGAAAAGATTAAAAAGTAATAAGTACCAGCATCTCGGGTCCGACTACATATTTACAGCCTTTGGTGTCGAAACCCTTGGCCCGTAGGGTCCCAGTGCCCTTCATCTGTACAAAAGTTTGTCGAAAAAATTAATAGACTGTCTGGGAAACCCAAGGGCCGTCAGCTACCTTGCCCAACGCATTAGCAGAGCAATACGAAAGGGGAACGCTGCCAGCATCTTGGGCACCTTGCCGCGGGGACACAATTTTATTCATATAATTTAAAAATCCTAGTTTTACTTTCTAGTATTCAACCTTTTATTCTCTTTTTTACCTTACCTGTATGTTATCTTAATTAAATAAAGACATATAATTTTAAAACAACATCAAACATGACGCTACTCTCAAACGGTCTACTGCGTCCTGATTGGTTATTGCAACTTTTTCATTAAAATTAAAAAAAGTTTGCCACCCTTAGAAGTGGAATATTTTCTTCAAATGTAAATGGGAGCAACACTGAGGTACCCTCTGTCCAACAATAAAAATTAAGAATTCGCAACGCAGAAAACTGCGACACGAATTGCTGCGATGCGATTAGGGTTTGCAATCCGGATACCCGGATATCCGAAATATCCGAATATCTGGCAAATATGTTATCCGGAAACGACATTTTTGCGTATCCGGATAATTCGGATATTTCGGACAAAGCAAAAATCTAAGCATAACAATCAAATCAAAGTCATTTGCGCGGGGAACACCTTTTTCTTTTATTAATTGGGAATGAAAGTAGAAGGGATTCTCCGCACTTCATTCACGCACGCTGTTACATCACCGTTTTTATTATTAAGATCGGTGCATGCGCAGTGAGTGAGTGAACTAATCAAATCACACACCACATCTATTATGCGCTCTCCTTCTCTTACTATCTTCTTAAAACAACTACTCAGTAGTTCTGTCAGAGTAGAGGTTCCTTGCAAAGTCGGGGGCATGCTTTTGACTCCCGAAGGGAATTTTGAGGGGATGAATTCCTTAGGGGGTTTCAGGGAAAAAATTAAAAATAAAGGCCAATGGCAAACTCCCATATAAATTTTTGTACACAACATTTGTATGCGTTTGCTTATGAAAAATATGTGAAAATATAGAGTTGAAATTCCTGAACAAATTTTGTTTTGGGTTTAGTTTTGGAGGTTATGTGTATAATGTAATGTATTAATACAATTATGGGAGTTGGTTATTATCGTATTTAGGTAAACATTCAAATGCTTTATTTTATTATAGTAACGAGACATTTTTGTTTTTTATTTGTTATGCCTTAGAATAATAACGAATAGAATGATAGTTTCATATCAAACGAACTGTCACAAGTGAGGCAAAAATCAAATTCGTGTAGGCTAGTTTTAGTAGTAGGTTAATTTTCGGTTTTAGTGAATATTTATATAAAAATACAAGTTGAAACGCGTTACTTCCTTGTGGAATGTGATGTTAGTATCTATTTTATGTTTGTCTGACGTATTTTTACACTCATTTACCGCACATTTCGTCGTTTTTAGCTAAAATTCCTGATCTGTTCGCGGTGCAAGTTGACCTTGAGCACTGAAGGCCCGCCCGCTCGTGTAGGCCCATTGGGCGCGCACAATTTGCCTCACTTAGCGTTTGCGGACTAGGTTTCTATGTGTTATGCTATTTTTTAATTAATAAACAACAGAAAATGTGGACTAAATTCTTTATTTTTATGTTTCTGCATAAACATGGCCGTGTTCTGCATAAATGTGTTAACCCACAGAAAATCGTAAAATTCTTAGTTGAGAATCTTACATTTTCAAAATCTGCCATTTTGAGAATTTGGCATTCCACTAACCTGGCCTTCTGCTGATCTGACGTTCTGCTTGCTTGGCGTTCTGCGTTTTTGGCACAAATCGTCAAAAACGTCGTGGTCTCCACTCATGGAGTTGTTTCCCCCAGAAATTAGCAGATATTTAGATACCAAAATTAGCTACCGTAACCAAAAAAAATGGCAAAATTTTTGCGAGATTTGTCGTCCGTAGAATATTACACCTTGAGTCTTCTGTGCCAATGTGAGTCTTCTGTGCCAATGATTGCTCTGGTTATCTCTACATACAAACCATATTTGTGTTGCAAAAACGAGCGATTCGTTCTGTGTACCGTTTAGGTTCTCGGGTGGATCATCATGACTGTGGCATCACAGTACATTTACTCAAAAATTATTTCACCTCCTTAGAATTCTGCCCGCAAAAGCGGTTTTTGCATTCTAGCGTGGAAAAGGTTTTTGAAGTTCGAACTTGACGATGGACTGTGGTGCACCTAACTTTTTCTTTCGATGAAAAAAATATTGACACGTTGAAATAGGCGACGGTTGGTATATTTTATTATTATTATTGTTGACATTAAATTGATAACGATAACTAATTGTGTTTATTAAATTATTTTAATTCGTCGAAGAACTAAAATAATTTCAATAATCACTTAATCACACAAAATAAAAGCACAAGCAAGAACAAAAATTGATGATGTGTAAATTTACTTATTTTTATTTACTTAAACTTAATTGCACACAAAACAGTACAAATGGCGGAGTTAATGCCATTAGGCATTCTCTACCAGTCAACCGGAGAGTTGGGTTCAAAATAACTAAATTCAGAACGCATCCAAAGATAAACTTTTTCTTTATCCATAATATTAACCTTAGAGCTAAGTCCAAACTCATGGTACCACGATTTCGTTTAACCAAGGTAAACAACTCTTTTATGGGGAACTGTATACGTTTTTACAATAAGATTCCGGAGCATATATTAAGTTTATCATTTCCTAAGTTTAAAACTTACATTAAAAATATTTTAATTGAAAAGTCATGTTACAAAATTGTAGACTACGTGTTAGATAAAAAAGTACGGAAAGACAACTAGCTCAAAAAATTACGTTTTCAAGTATCAAAATTTTACCTACGGAATAAATGGTTATTTGACATTAACTTTGACTTCTGGGTATTTTAGCAGATTTCTGCACAGAAAAGGAACCAACAAGCTAAATACAAAAGGACTGCTCACTCTGCAAGCTTCTCCTCGTCCATATCCCCTTCTTTCAGTTTCTTCATGAGCGTCTCCAATTTCATTGCAGGGGGATATACCTTCTCTTCTACCCTAGAAAACTCTGAGTTGCTGTAAGCGGTTGATACGTAGATGAAGGCCTGGAAATTAATTCAATCTCTCGAAGTATTGTCCTATTTAATCTATGGAATTGTTCTTTGTATTCGTAACAAGTTAGTGGAGTAAATATTTATTATGCAGCCATTAGACAACATCACATTGCTCTGATCTCAAAGTAAGGTGCTAACGCACTTGAGTTATGGAAATAGGATACAACTACGGTACCACAAACACCCAGTCACGAGACAATATAGAAAAGTACTAAGTTTACGTTTAAAAAACATTTGAGGGAATTTATATTTGATAGGCAAAAACTGGGTATTCCTAAACGCTTTACATAGCGGAGGCTTCTAGAATGAAGTCCCCTTGCTTCTTGGACATTTATTATCATCATTTTGTGTTACAATGGCTTTCATCGATATTAAGTACTGATTATTATTATTATTTTATTTTAATTATACCAATTATGAATGTGTATCAATATTTTTTCAAATTTTTATTTTTTTATTTTTTACAGTTACTATTTTTTTTTTTATATTTTATAATGCACATAATTCTCACGTGATACTAACATATGCACGCTACATTCACCTCACAATGTTTTTGTTTTTGATGCACCGCAACGCGCTACCCTCGAAGGTGGTGGCTGAAAATCAGTGCCTTGCTCGTGAGCAAATTTTGCACTGAGCCACGACCTATTTGGCTTGCTTTAGCACACACACACAGCTGTTGATAATTAGGTTAGTATTATGTTTTTATGCTTTTTTTCGTTTTAATTTTGATTTCTGTGTCTCTTAATCAATTTACTCTATTATATTGTTGTGTGTGTGATGCAAGACAATAAACGTTTTATCTATCTAATATCTATCTAAGTATGACTCAACTTACACTGGCACAGAGTCGAAAGGTCGCGACTCGTCATGTTTTTCGCCAATAGCATATTCATCTCTATTTACCCATAATTAAGGTACAAATTTGTGTTATGCAAATACTTGACCGCAGTGAGGCGTCAGATTCCGAGCACTCTGCGATCCGGGCGCACTAATGCAAGCGTCGTCGCCAGGTTTTGTAGTTGAAAAACAGGACGCTACGCGACGCTTCGACTGTACGCCAGTGTGAGTTGAGCCTTAGTTTTCTTAGAGCCTTAGCCGAGGATCGAACCCGGGACCTCAGAGGTGGCGACACCATGAAAACCGGTGTGCAAGCTACTCGACCACAGAGGCCGTCGAAAGCCATGGAAGCCTAATGGTTTGACCTACCACTCAGAGGGTCGCAGGTTCGATTCCGGACTTACACCTCTGAGCTTTTCGGAAATTATGTGAAAAATTTAATTTGAAATTTACCATGAGCTTTTTCTATGAAAGTAAACATAGTGACAAAAATTGCATACATCTACAAAGCAATTTTAATAATATGTGCTTAATAATATGTTAAGCCCTCTCATTGTGAAAGGTCTGTGTCCAGCAGTGGGACTATAGATTATATTAATAATAATAATAATAACACGCAAACTCGACATAGGGAAACCCTGTGTCGCGGGTGCTATGGACAGACATAAACAATCACAAATTACACCCAAACTCACGGGACAAATGTTTCTCCCGGCCCGGGAATCGAACCTGGGACCTCTGAGATCCCTGGTTCGATTTCCAGAAAAAATATCAAACTTACAATTATTTCTCACGTGAGTTTGGATGTAATTTGTGCTTGTCTATGTGTGTGTCCATGGCACCCGCGACACGGGGTCTCCCGTGCGAGGCTTTAAAAGACGAAAACAAAAAAAAATTAAGAAAATAAATAGATTTACGCACCAGTACATTAGGCAAAACGTCACAAATCTCGAGCACACAAATGACTGGTTGCAGGTTCAAATTCACCGCAAGACGGAGTTTCTCATTGAATTTGAGGGTGGCCGCCGAGTGGAATACCACGGACACCTAATGTTATGAAATGGGTAGTAATATTATTTTCTCTGTGCAGAATACTAAAACTGGCCTCAAAAGTCATTTATCCTCTAGTTTGCCACCCTTAGAGGTGAAGTATTTTCTTTAAATTTAAGAGTGGCTACACACGGCTACACACAACACACAGTCACACACACAACACACAGTGACACTTGAGATTTATAAGCGATTGCATCGACGCAATCGCGCGTTTGTGTCGATGCGGTCACGCGTTTGTATCGATGCAGTCATGCATTTGTATCCATGCAATCGCGCGTTTGTATCAATGCAGTCACGCGTTAACAATGTCGCCGTGTGTAACCACTCTAAATGGGACCACTTCTAAGGTACCCTCTTCCCAACAAAAAAGAACCATCAAAATCGGTTTCTCAAATTATTGCGTAGCAAACAAACAAAAAAACATACAGTCGAATTGAAAACCACCTCCTATTTTGAAGTTGGTTTAAAAGCTCCGACAAGTAAATTATAAATATGCTTATTAGTGGACTGCGATTAGGCAGATGATGATAAGCAGTAAGTCAGAATTGCCAAATTTTCAACCGATTTCAAATAAAGGTGGAGTATGTTCCTACTGTATTTTTTTATGTATGTTACGCGATAACTCCGGTATTTGTGAACCGATTTTCAGGAATCTTTGTTGGAAAGAGGGTACCTCCATAGCCGTCCCATTTAATTTTGAAGAAAATCATCCACCTCTAAGGGTGGCTGTTCACGCATGAAGATTCATTTTTGTAAATAGCGCCTACATTTTATTATAAGGAGCAATTATCTCCTGTGTCAAGGTATAATGGGGAACAAGAGGATGAATCCGGGTATGCGCACTTTCCGGTAACAGATGACAATAAAACTTGACAAATAGATGTAATTCAGCGTACTTTTGAGGTCGTTTCATGTAGTTAATTGTCCCACCCTCCCTCTGCATAAAATTAATAAAATAAATAACACTACCTACAGTCACAAACTACCACCAAAAATATACCCGACACGTGTATCGCCTCTCCACGAAGCATCTTCAGGGGTTGTTCATTGCTCGACACTCGTGATTTACTTCCATTTTTATTAACATGGACTTCCGCAAAGTAACGCCTGAATTAATTAGCTATTAACTTACATCTTTCAATTGTGCAACACTGTCTTGACTCAAACCCAACATGTCCTTTGTCAAATCTCCAGTAACAACTTGCAGCTTTTCCAGTTGACGAGGACTGTTGCCACGGAGGACATCGAAGACCTAAGCAGCATAACACAGTATTATATAGTAACAGCTGCTTTGTAAAATTAAAAATAAGGTATTTAATTAATAACTTTTGTAGCTATAGTCAAAAAATATTTTTTAGGTTTGCATTAATA